TTAATACCCAACACACATAACCATTTTCTAAAAGCAAGGGCAGAATCTGAAATGTGCAACATGAAATGTGCAATCTATGGTTTTTAATATAGCTTAGCTCCAAAATGATTTATATTAATAAAAGTATTTAAAATACATAAAACAAGTAATAGTTTTCGGATTCAACATTAACATTTTTTAGTGTTGCTTTTTTCTTGCAGGGGGGTTTCCAGGGATTGAACTCAGGGGCACTCTGCCACTGAGCCACATCTCCAGGCCTATTTTGTATTTTATTTAGAGATATAGTCTCACTGAGTTGCTTAGTGCCTCACTATTTCTGAGGCTGGTTTTGAACTTGTGATTCTCCTGCCTCAGCCTCCTGCACGGCTGGGATTACAGGCATGCACGACCATGCCTGGCTTTTTTTTTTTTTTTTTTAGTTTTTTTTTTAATAAAATTTGTCATGTGTAATAAGTTATACCACATGATACCACGGGATACATATAGATAAAGAAAAGATTACTATAGTGAAATAAATTAATATGGCCATCATTATTTGGGGGTTGTATAAGATAAACTATCTTCTCATTAAGCATGAATTCCTATATAAAATACAATTTTATTACCTATAGCGATCAAATTGGAAATTAGATTTCTCAACTTGTTCATTCCATATATCCACTACTTTGTATTTTCTGACCTGTATCTCCCCATTTCCTCCCCATCCTCTCACTACCCCCTGTTAACTACTGCTTCTTTATCTAGCACAGTATATTGGAATTTTTTTCATTAAATTCTGTATATGTAAGATCTTGCAATATGTTTTCTTTCTGTGGTTGATTATTTCACTAAGCATAGTGTTCCTCAGAGCCATCTAGGTAAGCCATCGATGATAAGATCTCATTCTTTAGGAATGAATAAAATGTGCTATCCTATTTTTTTTTTTTTTTGGTTTCTTTATTCATTCATGGGTCATTGGACACTTACTTTGTTTCCATGTCTTAGCTATGGTGAATAATGCTGTAGTTACCATAGGGGCACAGATATCTTTATGAGGTGGTGATTTTATTTCTTTTTGAGTATACTTCTAAAAGTATACCCAAAAGGACTGCTAGGTTATAACATAATTTTATTATTAATTTCTTTTGAAACTCCATACAGTTTTCTATATTCATCATATTAATGTACATGCCCAACAGTATACAAAAGAGTCCCTTTTTCCCAACACTCATAACAACATTTGTTGTATTTGGCTTTTTGATAATAGCTACTCTAACTATCCTAAAAAGTATAAGGTGATAACACATAGTAATTTTTATTTCCATTTCCCTAATAATGTTGAGTACCTTTTCACATACTTATTGGCTGCTTTTGTGTCTTATTTGGAGAAATGTCCAATGAGGTCTTTTGTCCATTTTCTAATTGGGTTCTTTTTCCACTACTGAATTTCATGGATTCTTTATAAATTTTGAAATATTAACCCCTTATCAGATACATGATCTGTAAATAAACATTGACCCTTTGTTAATCAGGTTGTGATTAGATAAACTGTCATGATATATAATATAATTAATTACTCATAACTATTAAATTAATATAACCAATGAAAAAACTGAGATATATTGATATTTGAATTGAATAGTTTAAACTTGCTTCATGAATGTGTCACATTTAGTAACACACAAACCTGATCTCAGGCAATGCTAGTACAGACAGTCCAGGCATTGATTTTAAATAGGCAGAAACCTGACCCTGAGGCACTACAAGATACTCAAAGATAAAACATGATGTCTTCACCAACCTGGACAAGAGAAATTATGACATTTTATGTTTTAAATTAGTAAACCAACTTTGCAAGAGCGAATCATAATATTCCATCAATAATAATAATAATAATCTTTATTAATTCCAGAAAGATGAGACATTTGCCACTGTGTTTTCACTTATATTGAGAAATATAAAATATGCCCAGTGCTAATATAGGTTGAAAATCATGGGTCAAATAAGAATAATATTAAAAGTTGCCCAGATGAAATGAGCTACCTTGGCAGGTAATAAATATTCCAGATTAGAGGTTTTCCAGAAAATGACAGATTCCCCTTTTACAGGGTGGTAGTAGAGGAAATTTAAAATTAGGGGTCACTTCTCTAGTTTACCATTAAAGTTACTTTTAATCCTCTGACTCTATGATATTTTCATGTTTGGCGACCGAGGAAGATTAACTCAGAATCATTTATTGTTATTATTATTCTCATTGTTGTTATAAGAAACAAAATACTAAACTTGTAATCTCAACCACTTTTAAGTACAGAGTTCAGTACCATTTTATGTATTTATACTGATATACAACAGAGCTTGAAAACTTTTTCGTCATCAGAACACTGAAATTCAGGCTGAGGGTATAGTTCAGAGTTAAGAGTACTTATCTAACATGTGCCCTGAGCTTAATCACCATGTGGCAAAAATAAATAAATAAATAAGTAAAACTGAAACTCCATATCCACCAACACTAATTCCTCCTCCCCTATTTTCCTTAGCTTTAGGCAAACTCCTTTCTACTTTCTAAAAATTTGACTACTTTCAGTACTTCGTATGTGTGGAATCATCAATATTGTCTTCTCTGTGACTCATGTGTTTTGCTTTGCATAATGTTCCTCAAGATTCAAGATATTTTAGCACACGCTAAGATTACCTTCTGTATTAAGGCTACATAATATTCCATTGTAAATAAACATTTTTTAATATTATTTTTTACATTTTCTTTATCCTCTCATGGACATTTGAGTTGCTTCCTCTTCTTGGCTACTATAAATAATGTTGCAATGAACATTGGTGTGTGAATATCTTTTCAAAATTCTTCTTGCAAATATTTTGGCTATATATCTGGAAATAGGATTTCTGGATCATATTGTAATTTAGGAATGTTTGTACGTTTTTCATAATGATTGCACTGTTTTATATTCTCACGAACGATGTACCAGGGTTTCAATGTCTCCACATCTTTACTAATATTTGTTTTGATAACGATCATCCCAATAGGTCTGAGATCTAATTGTTGTATTAATTGGCATTTCTGTTATGATTAGTAGTGCTGAGCATCTCTTCAGAAGAAAGTGTTTTATATAGTTCTGACTTTTCATTTTTGCCTTTATTGCCTATGTTTTTAGTATCATATCCAAGAACTCATTGCCAAAGCCAAAGTCTTAACATTTTCTCCATTGTTTTTTTCTGGGAGTTTTATAATCTTTGATCTTAATTATGTTTTTAACCCATTTTGAGTTAATTTTTATATAGTGTAAACTAAGGGTCCAACTTCATTCTTCTGCACGTGGATACCCAGTTTTCTCACCACTATTTGTTGAATAATCTCTTTTTTATTGTATAGTACTACCAACTTTGCTTTCATTCAGCCTTTATTTCTGAGTTCTCTATTCTGTTGCTTTGGTCCATACATATGTCCATATATCTGTCTTTATGTCAGTACCATACCATGTGGATTATGATTTGTTTGGGTATGTTTTTAAATTAGGAGATATAAGGCCTCCAATTTTATTTTTATTTTTCAAGATTTATTTGGCTAGTTACTGTTTTAGAACCATCAATTTCAAAATGGAGGTAATGAATAACATCTAATTTATGCATATAAATGCCAGGGAATCCTTGTTCTGTTCTACCTCCCTAAAACAGGCATTAGTGTCATTAAGGAAAAGAATTTTCCTTTCAAATGTAGGAAAGAATAATAAGTAGCAAAATAGAGCTGACCTTTAAAGAATTCTATTTAATTAGAAGGTATAGCTATTTTATAGAGTGTAAACACACATTATAGCCTGAAAATAATTGAGGTTAATGTTGAGATTCTCTAAAATAAATGATTTCTATATTATATCAAAGTGATATAAATACATTATAATTTTAAAGGACCCACAATTTATCTAATAAAAACCTTTCACTTAGATTAGGAAACCGAGGTACAGAAAGGCTGAATGATTTGCCCAAGAACTCTCAGACAGTAAGTGTACAAAAATAATGACTCAAGTTTTAAGCCTCTAATTGTTACTTACTCTTACACCATGATTTCTTCTCAGACTTATATGCTTCCTACAGTCAAGTTTCTCTCCAACTTAAATGTAAAATGCTTCTTCACCAATAAAAAGATGAAGAAACATTTTATAGTTTCTTCTTAGTGATGTCTTTGTTTCTATGTTTGGAATTTTAATATAAACATCACCTCTACAAGATGTAAAACTTGAAATTCATTTTAATAGAATAATAAATATACTATTTGCCAGGCACTATTAAATCTATATTCAAGATCTTATTAAAATCTCATAACTCTCATATAAGATAAACTGAAGGTTTTGGAGTTCAGGCAGTATAGACTAACAATATGCTTTCCTATGATGAGAACATAAGTTTCTCTAATATATGTGCCAGCATTTATTTAATTAAGCTGCCTGACAAGTTGGCACATTTGTATTCCATTTAGGCCTAATGATTTCATCTTCAGGAAGCAAAATTACAAATATCCCTGTGGACAGCCAGGAAGTCCAAAAAATTGTTTTCTAAGTATGAATGAGTCCAACATGGACATCCACACTTACTCTGTCCTTTTGGAGAAAACAGTGTTATTGCCAACTTAGATGACTTCCTTTCCTGGAAGGAAAAGCATTTACCATTTTATAAGAATCTCAAATAGTTTAAAATAGCACCTTTTATTTTAAATGAAAATATTTTTCACCAGAGAAGAAATGGAGTAGATTACAAAATGGCAGTGTTATCACCATCAATTTAAGACTACACACCAAAACACAGATCCCAAATTGAAATATATAACTACTCAAAATGATGAACATTCAGTGTCAGGTTAGTAGCAGGGGAACCCAATATGCTGACCATGTCAAGGTTAGAAATTAGGCTACACGTTTTCTTTTATTTTAACACTACTACAAACTTTATACATAGAGTACAAGACACATTTTCCCAATAAAGCATAGAAACAAAGAAAATACTCGAACACTTACACTTGACTTTTCATCAGTTTCATTCTCAAAACACTGATTTTCTTTATTTTGCTCAATACATGAAGCATTCTCCTTTGGTCCACCCCAAACTGTAAGCTAAAAAAAAAAAAAAAAAGTTTAAGAATCAATGCTTATTTTCTGAATTGTAAGTGAAGTATTTCAAGGTTTTAACATGAATCTTAAGATATCTAAGACCTGAATAAAATCATTAGATGTTGCTTATGTCAGTTTTAGAATATGAATGTACTGCTTAACCCATTTTTATATTGCTCCCAAAGAGAAATCATAAAATGGGACAGTTATTCAAAGGCAAGTTTTTAAATTTCAAAGCTTTTCACCAGGGAGTGTTGAAATTGGACTATTCCAAAGTAAACTGATGATCTGGTAAAAGCTGAGCATGGTTAATAAGATGAAGGTAGAAGAGTTTATTTCATCTTATGTAATTTCCCATACTTGCAGAAATCTCTACACAGGTAGTTTTTGGAGTTCTCAAAACAAGCAGAGACACTGACTGCCTTTGTGCTTGAGTACTTTTTAACTGCAGCTTTGGATGATAGAAATAATGACTACATTCAGAGCAAAGAATAGGTTTGCTTACTGGTAGTGTTCCCTCATTTGAGTGATTGCAACCTATAAAAACCATTGCATGGGAATTTGTCATGTGGTAATGTTAGCATGGCCCTGTAGGAAATGGGGCTTGAGAAACAGAGACTAGAAATGTTGATTCTCAGGCTACTGCTATTGTTGCAAGTAATACAGTCCTTTATCTTTGTCTTATGGGTCTTCTGGCAGCATCTATGAAACTGTGGCAGCCTAACTCCTTAGCTTACAAAAAAAGTAAAATATCAAGACACTTTGCAATCTTGGCAGTGACAAGAAGGGAATGTTGACAGTCACGGTTTTCTGAAAGAGAAAGGATTAGGGACTGTTGGGCTAGTGAAAGACTTTGTGGGACATTTTTGAAGATCAATAACATGTTGACCATGTTTTATGTTCAACTGCATAATAATGGTCTTTCGCCTCAATGTTTATAGAGAAATAACTGAAATGGTTTCAGGCCAAGTACTAGGAAAAAGACTCCAAGACAGCTTCCAGTTTTTTCTAATTCTTCTGTAGGTGGGAAGACTTCCTCATCAATCTATTTATTATCCTCAGCTACTAAGATTCATTCTGGTGAGCAGACAATAGTTATAAAGTCATGTACCTGTACTTATTGTGAAAGGAGAAAATTTTGCAAACACTGTGAGCATAAACCAAGATTTCTCTGATACCAGTCTGTTGTAGATGCCCCTCTTCTCTGCTCCCATTGTTTAAACCTCTCATTGTGATTAACACACACTGTGTTATAAATAATATATTTCTTTGTCATATTATTGTTTCTTGGAGAACAGGAAGGATATCTTACTGTTTTTTAATCTTGAAGGATACATACTTGTTTAATGAATACAAAGTATAAATGATTAGAGAAATAAAAGCATGCCTAGATAGAAGAACAAAGAAGAGGTCTGATCTGGTTAAGAAGAATGTTATGCTCAACTAAATGAGGGACTCAGGGTAGCCTTAGCAATATGCAACAAAGTTCTTTACTTTGTGCTCAGTCTATGATGGAGCATGTTCTTCTATACTTGCTATGATGATAAATCCAGGCAGCAAGGGAGGTAGTTCATGCTCAATCAGCATTATTCCAAGGTGCCTCATCATAAAACAGTACCTGATTGTGGGTATTTACATAAATGATACAATCAGGTTGGCAGTCCTAATTTTGTTCTTATAGTTTGTGGGACCAAACACAGGTGCCTTTAATCTATCATCTATAGATCGGCAGTTGCTGTTGTTTTTTTAATATTCTTTTAGTTGTCAATGGATCTTTATTTTTATTTATATGTCATGCTGAGAATATAACTCTGTGCCTCACACATGCTGGGCAAGCGCTCTACCACTGAGCCATGACCCCAGCCCTAGAGATTGGCAGTTTTGATGGTGTGGCTACTGATTTAAAAAAAAAAAAAAAAAAAAAAAAAAAAACTTTGGATGAAACAAAACATTAGAATTCTACTTTGTTCAGCTAAAAGTTACCACCACGACATTCAAAATCAGAAGTAAATGTTCCTTGCTTATGGCTATATAGCTGTCTTGCCCTCCATGACTTATAACCCCTCCCTCTTCCTTTTTACTGATCTCAGATTCTGTAAGGAAAAAGATGATTAAAAGTGGGACAATGTTTCCCTGTTTCTAAGATGTGACAAGGTTCATATATACCCATTCAAATATACTAAAGAACTTCAAGGAAAGGAGGGATTCAACTTATCATAGTCCCCTTGGATATAACATCCAAAACACACTCGCCTTCACCCTGTGGATTAGCGCTTATGAGGTAAGGCATTCAGGCACTAGGATTCAGATCACTAGATTTGGGCAGGATTCATTGTAGGAAAGCTAAAGTGACCTTGTATATGAAGCTCTTTGGGGCCATTCAATGTATCGGTTTTTTTGTGCCTTTAATTGCTGAGTGTATAATTGGTATTAATATTTCACTGTAAATGCCTACAAAGTCCAACGGGGATTCTCCTAATCAGGAAGAGTACATGTAGAAAGATGCTAGTGGAATCAGTAGCTCTCTCCCCAATTATTTTCCCCACTTTCTTTCAGGTAGTCCAGCAGAAACAATGGAAAAATCTCAAAGAAAAGAGGAAATTGCATAAGGTTTTAAAGGTAGCAGGAATACCACAAGGTATAATATCTTAAAACAACAGCCAAGTGTGGCCAGTAAGAAATGCTAATGGAGCTAGACCCTTACAGAGTATTAAAGCTTGGTGAATTTGGTTGTTGATGCTATTCCCTTAGGTATTTCAGACATTTTAACTGTAATTAAATTCATTGCACTGACAGCATTTGGTATGTTACACTTCCTACTTCATTTTTCTAGCATTCTGGTACTTGAGGTCCGAGACTAATGTATTTGCATTTATATGGCAAGGCCCCCAATATGTTTATAGTGCTTCTGCAGTACCTAAACTCCTTTGTCATTTGCTTTAAGGTTTAGTGTTGGTAGCTCTACTTTTTTATGTTTTTCTGAGTTTATTATTGCTATATATAATAATGAGGTTCATTTGGCATAATCACACATTCATTGAATATAATTTTCTGCATTTCAGTCCCTGGTACCTCTTTCTTTTCTCAACCCTACCTCCTGTTTCACTTGCACTACTCTACTGGCTTTCCCCCCATCTATTTATTATTTTTATTTTTTATATTATTATTATTATTATGGTACCAAGGATTGAACCCAGGGATGCTTAACCACTGAGCAACATTCCCAGCCTTTTTCTATGTTTTATTTAGAGACAGAGCCTCAGTAAGTTGCTTAGGACCTCACTACATTGCTGAGGCTGGCTTTGAACTTGATACTCTTGCCTCAGCCTCCAGAGCTGCTGGGATTACAGGTGTGTACCTCCATACCCAGCTATTTATTGTTTAAATAAATTTGTGCTTTATATGTATACATAATGTATACATATAAAATTGCATACATGTAAAATTCAGTGTACCATTGAATTCACCATGGTACATTCACACATGCACACAGTATAATTTGATCATCTTCATTCTGCAGGCCCTCTCCTTTCCCATCTTACCCACTTCCCCTCAACCCCACCCCTCTTCCATTCCATTCTTCTCTTTTATTTTCATCATGTCTCTCACCTCCTTTTTTCCTCTTATTTTTTTCTGCTTTTTGCATATGACAGAAAACATTCAACCCTGGACTTTTTTGAGTTTGGCTTATTAGCTCTCGTTTTTGATGTTCAAAATTGTAATTACATAATGTCCTATTAGATGGAAAGTCAAAAACCTCAGCCAGCAAGAGTAGGTGATAAACTGACAACATTGAGGGGTTCTATGGGTAAATTCCCTCCATCAGCAAGGAAAAACTGTTGTCTTTTTAGCCCCAGCCATCAAAACAGAGGCCCCCATACCTCATTGGGTTCTATGGATAATAAAGAGAGTATGTTCTCACTTTGACATTTTACTCATAATCTAACTTCAAAATCAGCATCCACTAACACTGTTGGTGGCTCTATTGGTAGCAAGCTATGGCATGATTTCTACCCTTGGGCCCCACATTAATTCTTTGAGTCACAAATCTTTGAGTTGATGAGGGTTCATTTGAATTATCATCAAATAGAGGTACCCCCACTTGAACTGCTCTTTGAGAATTGGTCTCATCTTCTCCTGGACACTGTTTCTCCTAAACAGTCATTATTTTGCTACTGGGCTCTTCTCAAAATTGAACATCTGGATCACAGACACTTATTAACTCTCCAGTCTGGTATTTTCATTTTGAGGGTGGATCAACTGATAATATAATAAGATGGTAAAGTTCTCACTTTGTCACGTGGAAATGGTGTATTCAAGAATGCAGCCAGCCTCATCCCAGTAGCATCTTGATCATATATAAAAAAGTATCATTACCCTTTAAGGAAAAGTCAGTTTCCAACTCCACGCCCTGAAACAACAACTCAATGGGATTCTTGATTCAAAGAGGTTTCATTAAATATCTGGGTCTTATTTATTAATGGTTTAGCCAAATGAAGCCCAATGGTATGCTAATGCTATATATTCTCAGTGCTAGCTATGCAAAACTGAAATGACCACAGTTCCTCCACTCAGGGTACAAAACTCAAGGCTGTTCTCAGAGGTGTGACAAATATGCCTCTTGACAAGTTTATTATATTTTTACTGACTCCTGGTATGTTGCCAATGGCCTAAATGTTTGGTTTGTACCTAGGAATACTACAGATTGACAAATTAAAGACATTTCTTCCTGAGAGCTTGAACAATTTATATGAGTTCATCACTCATATAAATGCCAATAGTGAGGAATTCTAATGTGACTGACTATAATTAAGCTGCTAACTGAGCTTGCACTGCTATCATTGCTGCCTGTATCCACCATCATTATTGAACATGGCAACAAAGCCACCATTATAGACTGAGCATAAGTAAAAGAATGTTTCTAAGACAGGGGCTACCTGAGTTTCCTTAAGTAGTTCAGCTTGGCATTCCTCTTAGCCAGATCAAAGCCCTTATTCCCTGTT